TTGTCAGTGGACATTGGTGTTCCTCCCTGAGGCCGTAAGGAAGGCTTGAGGAAGAGGTGGCAGTTCCAGTCACCTGCTCCTGCCGTTGCCCTGTGTCTTTGGGGCACGTCACTCCCCTTTGACATGGAAGGCCGTGACACACAGAGTTTTAAAGATCAAATGATTCTCAGTACCTGATGGACAACTCAGGCTTCCTGGTCACTTGGGACCCCACGGCCAAGGATTTGGCCTGTCCTGGGCCCATTAGCAAACTGGGAAGCTATTTTTCAAAAGGAGAATAAGTATTTGCCATAGACTGAATGTTTGTATACCCCCGAAATTCATATGTTGAAACCTAAGCCCCAGCGTGATGGTGTCAGGAGGGGGGGCCCGTGGGTGGTGATGAGGTCACGAGGGCGGATCCTTCAAGAATGAGACAGCATCCTTGTAAGAGGCTGGGAGAGCTCCCTTGCCCTAGTCACCACGTGAGGACACAGCGAGAAGACAGCTGACTGTGAACCAGGAAGCAGCTCCTTGTCAGACCCCAGACCTGCCAGCGCCTTGATCTTGGACTTCCCAGCCTCCAGACAGTGAGAAATAAGTATCTGTTGTTTATAAGCCACCCCGTCTGTGGGGTTTTGTTACGGCAGCTTGAGTGGACCAGGACGGCGTTCTAACAGGAGATGACACAGCTTTGTCCCAAAGTTCCAGGGCCTGTCCTGTGCTTCCTCCATCACTCTCACCGCACAGCCTCCTGGTCCACCTCATGTACTCTGAGCCCCCACTGGACCTGCTGGGCCACCAGGGCTCAGCGTTACCGGTGCGGGTGCTGCTTCCAGGACTGGCTGCCGACCCTGCTCTGGGCCCCTCACGGCTGGGAGCCTTGCAGCTCACTCCGTGAATGGTTGCAGCTGCCCCAGGGGTGGCTGTGTTGCCCGCCAGATGCAAGGTGCAGCAACTTAAATTTCATCTGGGAGGTGTCACCCCCATGTTCCCGGCCAAGGAGAGCCCCAGGGAGTTCACTAGGGAGCTAGCCCCTGAATTTGCATGCACATGTTCCTGCAAGGCAGCTAGGACAGTGTTCCCCACAGGGCACCACGCTGGTCCACTACACGGACGACATCAGGCTGACAGGACCCAGTGAGCCAGAGTGGCATGTAGGCCACGTCAGAGCTGCCCACAGGTGTGCCACGAGTCGGGGGTAGGTTCCAACCGTGGCCCTTCCTTTGGCCCTGAGATGGTCCAAACCCCCAGGCTTGCCATTTCTGGCCACAAGCAACTTTATCTCTTCATCCAGGGTGCTATACAAATTCTGTCATTTTTGCATATCCCACGATGCAATGCAAGCAGAGATTCGGACGGTGCTCGTGCGTGGGGCTTACCCTGCCTTCTTGTGAACAAACCTGAAAGATGGGAGCTGTACCATTAATAGCCAGCTGCTGCCGCCAGGCATGCGAGTGGATCCTTCTGGACAGCCAGCCGCCGGCTGAGTGCAGATGCGGGAGAGCCCAGCAGAGATTGCCCGGCCAACTCACAGAATCACATGCTAAATAAAATGGCAGTTGTTTTAAGCTACTAAGTTTTGGGGTCATTTGTTACATAGCAAAAACTAACCGATACACCCACCCCCCCATAGATGAATGAGGGCTGCCCGTTGGCCTCTGCCATTTTGAAATGACCTCAATTCTGCTGAAACTGGGGCAGCCGTCCCATCCCAGCATCTCCCAGGGTCATTCCTGGGCTACAGAGCACACGGAGCCACTGCACTGCTTTTCACTGTGCCCCAGAGTTCCCCGGGTCTCCCCAGGGGAGATGGGCATATACGGCAAACCCACCCAAATATCCTTCTCCATTATGCCAGTGTATTGCTCCACCCTGTTTTCGTTCCCTGTGGGCCAACGCCAAGTCTGCCTTCGGAGCCGACCTAGCAGGCAGGTTAGAGTCACTCCCGGCTCCTCCCGCTAGTGCCCCTGGATTCACTCTCTCCAGCAAGTGCCTTTCTATCTGGGAAAGCAGCCCCGTCTAGAAGCGTGGCTCTCTCTTCCCTGGCCCGACGCCCCAAACCCTCTCCTGAACATATTTCTCTTTTTTTGCTGACATAAATTAGCATCTTCAATTTTTTAAAAAGATATAAGCCTTCTGCTCTTAGCTTTGACTTTGTGCTTGTCCTCTGGGAACTCGCTGTAGTTACGGGTCTGGGGGCCAGGAGGGGTGAAAGACGGGGAATGAGAAGAATTGGCATGGCCCTTGCAAAGCAAACACCTCAGAGGAGGTTTCCTGGAGGGGGACAGCCTCTCCCGGTGGCGTGGCAGGCAGGGCTGCTGCCACCAGGGTTCACCCAAGGCCCCGGGGGCTGGAACTCAGCTGCTCTTTCCTTCTTAGGGTCCCTCAGTTTTCCCAAACAACGCCCTGCCTTTCCCGTGGGAAGCTTGGTGAGGCAGCGGGTTGAGTGTGCAATTCTGCACCACATGGCATTAGATTGCCCGTCTGATTTTCAGCTACACCAGCGCTGCAGCCCCAAGAGATACGGGATCCTTTTAGGGCCATTGCAGGTCCTCCTCGGTGCTCTAAACATACCTTGAGCGGAGGGTTTTAAGCCCCGACATTGCTCTTTTCTTTTGAAAACTCTTTGGTGTGAGAAGAAAAAGCAAACTCAGCTGCCGTCCTGGAAGGCGCCAGGCCCCTCGTACCGCGAGCGGCGGCCGTGGCGCGGTCTGCGAAGCTGGGATTTCACAGATACTCAGTTCCAGGCCCTCCCAGGTCACTGTCTCACCACCATGTGCCACGACCCACTAGAACTCCATTCTCTAGTGGTTACTAGCTCCTCGCTGCCTTTAAACCAACTGCAACAAATACCCTTGTTCCCAGATTCCCATCTCTGAGGATATGTCACCTGCAATGATTTCTGGTGTCAAATCCTATATTAATTGGGATTCAGTTGCAAATAACTGGGACCACTTTAGCGGCTGAACCGGAAAGGAACCTCATATAGGAACCCGGACGACCACGCAGCCGTGGGGAGCCCGGAGGAGCAGGCTGGAGACGGCCCGGAGCAGCAACTCTTAGACTCAGACCCCGGGGCTGCCTTCCTCCTCCACGAGTGCGGAGCTGCTGCGTGGCTGCTGGCTCCAGAAACTTAAATTCCGAGCCAGATATTTTCATTCACCTCTTAGATCCGCGCTCGCTGTTTTCCATCTTGACCTCTCTGGACTGCAGATGGGCTTTCTTGCCCTTGGCTGCCATTGGATTTGGCCCATGGGAGGCCCTGGCAGGAACAAGGAGTGTGGAGGAGAGCGAGGTCGGGACTTATTCCTCTGGCTCTGCCCCTCTGCTGGGCCACCACGGGCTGGCCGAGTCCTTTACCAGAAGCCACAGCCCCCAGCGTGGCCCCCTCTTAGAGCTCCAGTCATCCTCTTCCTGGGCTCTGGAGTTGGCTCCCTTCTCTGCTGCTGTAGGCTTTGGGGTTGCCACAGCCCCAGCCTGTTGCTAGTCTTGGGGTGCAGCACTGTCTCTTCGGGGTCCTCTTAGCCCTGCCCCAGAGCCCCTTTATTAAACACTCTTCCGTTTCTGTATTTGACTGTGCCACCTCTTTGCCCCTGGGACTCAGGGCGATGCACCTGCTTGGCTGTGATCCAGGGTTTGGAAGGTGCCACCAGGATGGTGGGATCCAGTGCTGGGCCATGCCCGTCACCCCTGCCCCAGCCAAACGGACATCCGGGCCTGGCTGCTTCTACCCACGGCCTCGTCACAGACGCCAGTCCTGCACGGAGGTGTCAGCATGGCAGAAACTGAATCACACGCCTCTGTGTCTTCCTCTGTACTTGGGGTTGTAATGGCACCTGCCTCAGAGGCCAGTTCCAGTAAAATGAAAGCCCTTAAAACTATGTCTGCTTCCTCGTCAGTCACTCTGTTCACATCAGCAATAATATCAGAGGGACTCTTCACCATTTTCACAGCTTCCCGTGAACAACCCCACTCTCCTGCTCGCTCACACCCCGTGTTCCCACTTCCCACCTGCTCTGGCCCCTTTCCGGCCTGGTCCGTCAGCAGACAAAGAGTGGTTATCTTCCTGGTCACTCAGTGCTGTCACCTGTTGCTATGAAAAATCACAGTTTCAGCCTGGCTCGTGACGATGCAAGCTCGAGAGGGCAGCCTGGGTCGGAGATGTTCTCTGACCATCCTGCTGTCCTGGGATCTCTCCTTGAACTCCTCTAGGCCTTTGCACAGGCTGTTCCCTCTACCTGGAACATACTCACCCATCGTCTTTAACTGCCAAACTTCTACTCATCCGTCAAAGCCCACTTCTCTGGGAAAACCTCCTGATCTCCTGGGCAACAATAGTCATCAACATTTACCCATGGAGTCCACTTTGTGCCAGGCATTGTTCTAGGTGCTGGGACAGAGGAAACCTTCAGGGCTGGGGTAAAGAATCAGAGAGAGGATTTGCTTTAAATAAGGCAGTTAGGGAAGGCTCCCTGAAGGAGGAGGCATTTAAGCTGATGATAAGGATGAGGATTCAGCCCTTTTAACAGCTGGGACAGGAGTTCCAGGCAGAAGGAACGGTGAGTCGGGAAAGCAGGGAACAGAAAGGCAGTCAGTGTGCGTGGGAGGATGTGAGGGTGGAGAGGCCGGGAGATGAGGGTAGATATAGGACTCATGGGCTGGGCGTGCAGCCTGGATGTTATTTTAAGATCTCTTGGACACCACTGGCCTGTTTTGAGTGAGCTGGGATGTGAAGTGTGTCCTCTGGTTGCTTATGGAGGACAACTCAGGGGCAGGAAGTGGGTGTGAGGAGCTGGCAGCGGGTTCCAGCTGAGGGGCCCCTGTGGGTCCAGGTGAGAGGAAGGGGGGCCTGGCTGAGGTGGGGGCGTGGAGGTGGAGGGACGACCTGGGGGCAGAGCTGAGAGTTTGCTGATGGTGGGATGGGGGGGCCTTGGGGACAGTGGACGCACAGTCTCTGGCCTCAGTGGCCGGGGGCTGGAGCTGCCATTTGAAGATGGGAAGACTGGAGAGGAACTGGCTTGGTCTGTGTGTGGGGAGGGGAGAGGGAGAGAAGGCAGACATGTTAAATTGGAGCTGCCTGCGAACCATGGAGGAGGCCAGGAGGTGTGGCGGGCTTGCTGGGGCCCTGGGGGCAGATCTTTTCCGGTAGGTTCTGTGGTGGCATGCTTCCGAAGTGAAGCCTTGGGCCCTGAAGCTCAGTGAGGAGGAAGCTGCCTGCAGACGCCCCCAGCAGGCCCCGCAGAAGCCACAGGCCTGGAGGAAGTGAGCAGCTCGGCCCCCGCCTCTGGACCAGCCTCTGCAGACCCCGCTGACCCAGGGACCCCAGCACCTACTTTCTTTCAGAGCCCGGGGACCACCATTCGAGCAACGTGGCCTTCACTTCCTCACGTGCAGGAAGCGCCAGGTGAGTCGTCCTGGCGTCTGTGCCCGTGGGAGCCCTCGGCCGCCAGGGCTTCCTGCCTGTCCGTGGTTCTGGGAGGCCGAGCGCACACAGGGAGGGCTCCTGGGGGTCCGGAGAGCACAGTCTCAGCCGAGGGAGCTGGGCAAAGCAGCGCCCTGAGCCCCGTGCCTCCCTCCCCGAGGCCCGGACAGGTAGAAGGGGCCAGGTGAACAGGTTTCCAACAGGTTTCCCGTCCCACTGCGTCCCTTCCCAGAGCTTCATCCGATGGGTGGAGCAGAAAGGCCTCCCCTGGGTTCAGATGAAGAAACTGGCACCCAGGGCGGGAAGGGACTGCGGGGGCTGCTGATGGCTGGAGGCGCTCCCAGCTCTATCTGCTCTGCTCCCTGTGGCGAGCATCGAGTCCAGCCCCTTCTTGGAAAGAAGCATCAGGGCCGGAGAGGGGAGGGGGTTTGTCCAAAGTCACACAGCCAGAATGAGGAAGAGCCTGCCCGGAACCCAGGCCTCCCAACCCCCAGGCGGGCTTTTTCCTCCTCTCTGATCACATCCCTCAAACCGGATCCTTGGGTCCGAGAGGAGGATTGGGGATTTAGGGCACGAGGTTGGCTCAGAGTCACCCCCTCCCCAATTCAGGGCAGAATTGCCCCCCAGTGTCCCCAGGCTGGCTGCTGGTGTGATGAGGCGGCCCCAGCGCTGGGAGTTCCTCCATCCGACCGCGGCAGGGTGCCCTGCCACTTTAGCCCAGCCTCCCCGGGGGCTGGAGCTGACCACTGTCCTCTGCCGCATGACACCCCTGCCCCAAATGTCCATTTGGGGCTAGAAACGCTGGGGAAGACCCAGGGGCTGAAGGGGGAGAGAGGGAGGGCAAAGCAAAGCAGGGGAGGAAGTGAGCCCCGGGGAACAGGAAGGAGGCCGGGCTGGGTCTGAGTCTGCCCGTCCCAGGCCCGGGGCCAGCCTGGCACCCTGCCCTTAGTGAGGATGCTGGACCTCACCTTCCCAGCGAGCATGTGCCTGGTGCTTCACAGGCATGAGCCCCAAGACCCCTAAACCGCCCCGAGAGGCTGAGGATGATGAGCCCCACTGCAGAGAGCTGTGTTCAGAATCGGGGGCCAGGCAGAGCCAGGCCACCCTCCGAGAGCCAAGCCTGCACAGATGGGCGACGTTGCCACACCAGCTCCAGTCGGCTCACTCCAAGGCTGGTGGAGCTGCTCTGTGGTCGTCTGCCTCAGGCTCAGGGGCCCAGAGGAGACAGGCCCGGTGCCCACCAGGAGCTCACTGTCTGTCGGTCTCATCCATCCGTGTGTTCCCCTGTACCAGCCCCATAGGAACCCACCCAGGCCCACCCTGGATTTGCCCCTAAGCTCAGCCTGAGGGTTTCCTGGGTCTGCCAAGCTCTGAGGAGTGGGCTGCCCCCTCCTGTGTCCTGATGGCAGGGGCCGGGGGGCTTCCTGTCTGCTGTGGGAGAGCGGTGAGCTGGCTGCTCTGCCCCAACCAAGGGGGCACCTTTGCTCTGCCAAGCCTTTGCTCAGGCTGTGCCCTCAGCCGCACGCCTTTCTCCACCCCAGTGGAGGCAAGGACTGGCACCCTGCATCCTTCCCATCGGGGTCCTTGTCCCCTTCCCCAGGCAGCGCGGTGACTTCTCCACCCACAGCCGGCTCCCACCTGCTCCCGTGCCTCCTGGTCAGGAAGAAATGACACCGAGTGAGCATGGGGCTACTCAGACTATGACTGCCTCTGTCCCCTCCTCCCCCAGGGCCAGCCAGGGAGAGATGGAGGCCGAGTCCTTGTACAACCTGCTGCAGCTACCCCAGGCGGGCCCACCGGTGGAGGAGGAGCTCCCACAAGGTACGCGGCTGCGGGCTGGGGCGTGGTGGAGGGGGTGGGTCTGCATCGCGAGGACCAAACAGGCCGTGCCAGGGCACATGCGATGCTTTCCACGGCATCAGCTGAGCATCCAGTTCTGTTCAGCCTCTGCCTAGGCCTTCTGCTTTAAACCTGACTCTCCTTACCCCCTTGCCTGCTTCTGGAACCTTCCACAGTTATCCCCATGCCCCTCCAGGTTGATGGTGATGTTGGGGATGTGGAGGGTACTAATTGCTATGTGGGCCTACTATGTGCTGGTATGTGCTAAGCACTTCTTATATGCGGCATCTCATTGATTGCTCTGAGGGTGGGTGTTATTATCTCCTTTGTGCACATGAGGAAACCGAGGCACAGAGTAATGGAACAGAGTAACAGGTGACTGTTAATAAATAGTGGAGCCGGGATTCTGAACCCAAGGAGGGTGGCTCCAGAATCCAGGCAGTCCTGGGGAGGTCTGCAGAGATGTACCTGCCATCTTGCAGAATGGAGAGTCTATTGACCGGCTCCCTTCACACCTGCGGGTCTTTTAGAAAAGAGGGCAGGCATAGGGTTGGGGAGGTTCAGTGAGAGTGGGCACCCCTGTGAGCGAGGCTCTGTTCTGAGCTTGGGGAGCTTGTGGCCACAGCCCCTGAAATCTCCCTCCGCGGAGATGCTTTGAAAGGAGGATGGTGACAGGTGCCCAGAGCTGTCACCACCGTGTTACAGAAAAGAAAGACAGCAAAGCAGGAAGCAGCCCAGGGCCCCCTGGGCAGGGCTCTGAGTGAACTCACTGGAATTCAGGTAGCCTTTAAAACCGAAGTGTGAAGACGGGGAAAAGTGTGAAATACTCTAATTGACAGAGCAGACGGGGAGGCGGGGCGCCCGGCCCAGCGGCCTTCCTGCCAGGTCTGCTCTGCTGCTCCCTGTCGATGGATGGCTTAAGACCTGAAGGCATCATGAAGAAAGCTGCCGTCCCCGCGGTCGGCCTCAGTTCTTTGAAAAAATATTTATTTTTTGTTTTATGGTTTATTTAGAGATACTTGAAGTTCTGGCAGGCAGAGCTGGAACACGGGGTGATTCAGAGTGGCAAGAAATCTGCTCCAGGGGGGCGGGGGCGTTGTGTCACCACAGCCGTTCATTCATTCATTCATTTAGTCACTCACTCGTTCACTGCCTCCCTCCCTCACGCCGCTCTCCAAGGCCGTCCAGCGCCCCGCTTTAGCCACCCCTCTCCTGTCAGAGGACACGGGGCTGGCAGTACGCAAAGATTTTCAGAATGTCTAGGAAAAGTCTCAGCCGGGTCATGTGAAGACAGAGGCCATGCATTTTGTGAACTTGGGCAACAAAATACCCACTCGGCGACTCAGTTTCCCCCACATCCATCAGAACAAGATGATCTCGTGGGTCCCCTCAGCCCTGACATTTGGTGGGTTCCATGAGTCTAAATGTGGGGAAGCTGCTGATCCAGGTTCTGGGGCTCCGAGAGCGAGCCAGGGCGGCCTCTGTGTGTCCACGCCAGGAGCCGGACAGTGTCAGGTGGGCAGTGGGGATCCACCGGGGCCCCTTGCAGCCCGGGAACCTGGGCTCCCCTGAGCTGTGGCTTCCTCTTATGTAAGTGGGTAGAATTGCCAGATAAAACACAGTTAGGGGCCGGCTCCATGGCCAAGTGGTTAAGTTTGTGTGCTCCAATTCAGCAGCCCCGAGTTCACCAGTTTGGATCCTGGGCGCAGACTTACACACCGCTCATCAAGCCATGTTGTGGCAGCGTCCCACATAGAAGAACTAGAATGACCTACAACTAGGATACACAACTATGTACTGGGGCTTTGGGGAGAAAACAAAAGAGGAAGACTGGCAACAGATGTCAGCTCAGGGCCAATCTCCCTCACCAAAAAAAAAGGATACCTTTAAAAACAAATCCCTTAAAAAAACAGTTAAATGTGAATTTCAGATAGACAAGAAATAGTTTTTGAGTTTATGTTCCCAAAATATAAATATTGCAATGTCTGAGGATGAGCTGGTGCTTATGACGGAAAGGAGGAGGAAGGGTGTTGGGGGTGTGGCAGGAACAGTATGAGCAAAGCAAAGAGGGGTGGAAGACGGGGCACGTCCGGGAAACCCAAGTCACCGTGGACGTTTGGTGCTCAGGGTGTGCGTGCATGCATGGTGTGTGTCTATGACTGTCTGTATGTGCGAGTGCATGTGTGTGTGTGTGTAGGTGCACATGTGTGAGAGTACACGCGTGTGGTGTGTGTGTGAAGCAGCGGGACCACAAATTCCACTTGCAGTCATGATGCCAGCCCCACGGGGACCTGTGGGGACAGAGCTCCTGAGCCCCACAGGTTCCACATGCCAGTCATGCTCCCTCTGCTTCCAGGACAAAAGAGGAAATACGTGCCGCCCACATCGAGGAAGGACCCCAAGTTCGAGGAGCTGCAAAAGGTAGGCGGCCTCTGGGGGCGGCGTTTCCTCTTCTGGGGGTGGGGCTGACAGGTGCCCCGCCCCTCCCTGACCTCAGGCCCTGGGCTCGGGAGACCTGCTGAATGGCCACCTGAAGGAGCGTTTATTGAGCGCCGACTGTGTGCCCCACGGCGGCTGAGAGGGATCTGTCGTCACCTCCATTGCAGAGAGCAGATAGCAAGGCTCGGAGAGGTGACGCGACCTGGAGGAGGCACAGGGCTGACCGCCACAGAGCTGGGTTTGACCCAGGCCGTCCGCCCCAGAGCTGGTGCTCCTTCACTGGCGCGACTGCCCAAGGCAATGGACAGCTGGAGAAATGGGCAGGAACAGGCGCGGGTCTCCCGGTGGGGCTCCCCATGGCCACAGGACTCTCTGGCACAGGCTCGGGGCCTCCACTTTCCTCTGCCCTACTTCTCTAGCCTCCATGTGGCCTTTCTGTGGCCTCCTCCGGGGAGGCCTCCTGGCCTGCACCACCTGGCCTGGACCCATGTTCCAGCCCTCCCTTCCTCTCTCTGTTTCCCTCGCTCTCTCTGTCCACCTTTCCCACCATTGGGCACCGGGACACGGAGTAGAGTGGTCCCTCCTGGAAAACCTGGCGGGGTGCCGACCCATGGTCTCAGTTTGGGTTCCTCTAGATGCTGCTCCTGAGATAAGGACGTGGGTGCAAGTGGTTGAGCTGGGAGGTGATCACAGGAGATGAGGAAGGAGAGTGGGAGGTAGGATGCAGAGGGAAGGAGCCACCGGGGCGAGTGATGGAGCAGGTGACAGGGGTGGGAGCTCGGGCCTGCTGGGCACCTGGGAGCCAGCGTGGAGCAGCGCCTCTCGGATCCTCCCGGGTTGGTGGGTGGGCAGCCGGGTGTATATCTGCCAGCTCCCGGTTAGCTCCCGCCGCTCCCTTAAAGGGGTGGGACACTATGTCCCCGGTGTTTCTGGCCCGTGGAGCACAGAGGGACCACCCTCGGGAGCGTGCAGAGGGAGCGGTGCTGTGCACCACCACCGTGCAGTCTGTGGGACGGGCAAACACCAGCAGCCCATGTTACCAAATCCTTACACAGGGAGAAGTGGAGGGTCTGTGGGAGCCCAGAGCAGGTCCCTAACTCAGCCTGTGAGATCAGGGAGGGCTTCCCAGAGGAGGTGGTGTTTGACCTGGCCTCGAAGGATAGGTAGGAGTTGGCAGGTGGCAGGAGGGCATTGCAGGCTGAGGGTAGAGCTGAGCCAGGTGGAGGACCAGGCGAGAAGTGGCCCCGGGTCAGCTGTCCCCTTGGCACCTGCAGGTGCTGATGGAGTGGATCAACACGGAGCTCCTCCCTGAGCACATTGTGGTCCGCAGCTTGGAGGAGGACATGTTCGACGGGCTCATCTTGCACCACCTTTTCCGTAAGCAGCTGCACCCTCCACAACTGGCCGGCAGGCCCCACAGGCAGGCTCCTCACCAGCCTCAGCCTCCCACCCTGCAGAACTCGAGGGGCTGCAGGTCTTGCTTTTTCTCTGCCAAACCGTGGACTCTGCTGCCTGCACACTGCCTCTCCAGCATTTATGGAGCGCCTGCTGTTTGTAAGCTGCTGGAGATAACAAAGAAACCCGTGTCCCGGCCGGGGGCTGCCCTGGGCTGCTGGAGAGGAACAGGCCCCTTGGGAGACAGCCCTGTGGTAGAGGTGGGCTGGCTCCTGCTGGGGGCTCCTGTCTCTGTCCAGAAGGTCCTTGTCACCTCTCCCTTCGCTGGTGCACAGTCACGTGCCTCCATGGCTATTTTCTGCACGAGGCAGTGAGGTCCTGGAGGGGCGGTGGGCCTGACTCTGGCCTCAGCCAGCCTGGGGCATGGGGCCAGACTGTGTTTGGAGCCCTCTGTGGACGGGCCACAGAACAATCCTACCAGCCACCGCTGATGCTTCCTGAGCACCTGCCACGTCATGGCACGGTTAATCCTCTGGGCAACTCCATCCCCATTTTATAGATGAGGAAAGTGAGGCTCTGAGAGGCCTAGTGACTTGTCCAAGGTCTCAAGGAAGAAAGCAGAGGAGTGAGGAGGCTAAGCTTTAACCACTAAGCCACACTGCCCTGCAGAAAGGAAGTGCACAGAGCTGTGCAGAGGGTTAGGGGCTGGGACATAGGGGGCGCTGAAGTGAAGAGGGCCAGTGGGGGCAGCTCGGAGGGCGGGGGCTTGCTCAGGTCACACCACCTGCATGCCCAGGTGAGGAGGGGACAGTGCCCTTACCCCCTGAAGGCTGGCCAGCCTCCTGGAGGAAGCCCAGGGGCTGTGGGTCCCTCTGACCCGGCTCTCTCCCCGCTCTCCCATCCTCTCCACTGGCTCACTGGCTTCTCTCCACCCCCTTCTGACCCCTCCTGCCCTCTGTTCTCAGAAAAACTGGCCGGGCTCAAGCTGGAAGTCGAGGAGATCGCCCTGACAGAGGCGAGCCAGAGACGCAAGCTTGCGCTGGTGCTGGAGGCCGCCAACCGGAGCCTGCAGGTGGAGGAGCAGCAGGCCAGGTGGAGCATGGAGGGTACGTGGGGCCCCTGCCCAGGGCTGGGGTCGGGGAGGGCCAGGGGCTCCGGGGTACCCAGCAGGTGCGCTCGTTCCCCCTCAGGGGCAAGTACAACCCGGGGGGCTAGAAGGGGCAGCAGCCTCAGGCAGGGAGGACTCACTTCTGTATCCACAGGTGTCGCTGCCGCAAAGCCCGGCCCGTGGGGATAGACTCAGTTTTGTCACCGAGGCAGCTGCTATTTTTTGAGCTCCAAGCACCACCTGGGCCCAACTGTCCCCTTTCATCACGGAGTTTTATCTGCAGTGCCAGCCAGAGAATGGAGAGCATGAACCCCCGCAGACCGCCCCCCGCCCCGCCCCACACCGCCCGCAAACAGTTTAGTGTGAATTTCCTGCTGTTCCATCTCTGCATCCTCCCCATTTACCAGATGAGGAAACAGAGGCCAAAAGAAGTTAAGAAGCTTGGGTGGCAATGACATAACTGTTTTCAAGCCCGCTTTTTATTGGGCTCCCTGCCACTGCCTTTGCCACTGTGCTTAAATTCTCACATTCGATAATGCATGTTTATAATGTTGACCCCGAATTAAGTCCCATTCAGCTGAAATCTAACCGCTGCTCTCCCAGTGCCCTGCTGTAGGACAGGACATTTAGCGTCTCCAGCCGACATCCCTGTCTAAACCCCATGCACAGGGTGGTGCGCCCTCGGGCTGTATTCACAGAGGTGGGATGACTGGGGCAACGTGTGGCTCTTTTCATGTCTGAATATCTCTCCAGAATCTGCCTTCAGAGGGCTCGACGCAGGCCTCCTTGTCTGCAGAGGGTTGCTGTGATGGTGACGAAAGCTCCATGTGGCCCCAGGATGGTGGCCCTCTCAGCTCTAACCTGGTACCCTCTCCTCTCCCAGCCATCTTCAGCAAGGACCTGTTGGCCACCTTGCATCTCCTCGTGGCCCTGGCCAGGCGCTTCCAGCCTGCGCTGCCCCTCCCAACCAATGTCCAGGTGGAGGTGATCACCATGGAGGTGAGGGGCTGGACGTGGGGGTCCCTGTGCACGGGCTGGGAGTCTCCGGTCCGCTTCACCATGCCCTGGATTTGGGGGTGCTGCGTGGGGTGGGGACCAAGCCAGGCCGTGTTCTCGGGAGCCTGGAGAAATGTCAAATCCCGCGAGGACGGCAGTGGGGCGCTCGGCTGGAGCTGTGGGTGGGAGGTGCTGAGTCCAGTGGAGCCGGCAGGGGCTCAGTGGGGCCACGGAGAGATTGGTGGGCCAGCCAGTCCTGCTGACATCATCAGATGGCATCTCCCTGGGGTGTTAGGAAGGTCCTGGCTGATGCAACCACATCGCAGGGGCTAAGTGGCCATCTCTTTGTGGCCTTTCGGGAGCCTTCACATCAGTGAAACACAGCCACAGCCCTTGTCACTCACTCACTACCTGATGGCTGTGACGATGGTTCCAGGGGGCCTTTATGGGCTTCCCCACCCCACAGGGCGCTCTCTCTCTAGCACGTGCAGGACTGCGCTATAGTTAATGCCCCAGGAGTCCACGGCTTCTCTCTCAGACAGATTCTCAGCACCACAAACAGGTCCCCCCACCTTGCCCCCGTTCCTCCCTCCCCCACCCTCTGAACAGCAGGGCCTCCTACGTAGGGCTTACCTTTGACTCACCCCAACAGAACAAGCCAAGTTTGGCCAAACTCAGGTGAATTCATTCTTACTTTTTCCAAAACCATTGATTAAGATTCTCCACTCAGCAGTTTCATGGCTTTGTTTATACTTCTTATGTAAATCAGAGGTGACTTTATTTCTTCACTCATTCGTTACTCATTCATCCATCCATCCACCCATCCATCCATCCATCCATTCATCTATGCATCCATCCTTCTATCCATCCATCCATCCATCCATCTATCCATCCATCCATCCATCCATCCATCCATCTATCCATCCATCCATCCATCCATCCATCCATCCATCTATCCATCCATCCATCCATCCATCCATCTATCCATCCATCCATCCATCCATCCATCCATCCATCCATCTATCCATTCATCTATCCATCCATCCATCCATCCATCCATCCATCTATCCATCCATCCATCCATCCATCTATCCATCCATCCATCCATCCATCCATCTATCCATTCATCTATCCATCCATCTATCTATCTATCCATTCATCCATCCAACCTTCCACTCGTCCATCCATCCATCTGTCCATTATTCAGACCAACACATGTTCATTGACCCCCTGTGAGCCAGGCAGTGGGTGAGACTCTGAGGACGCCTGGGGAACAAGGCAGGCATGGCGCCATCCATGTGGGGTTCAAGGCTCATGGGGAAGGAGGACAATTAAGTCGAACCACTGTGATGAAGGCTGCCCAGGAGGACGCCCTGAGGAGGGCAGGAGGCAGAGTACACGGGTCCCCCTGGGCTGCGTTGGCCACCACAGGCTGTTAGCAGCAGTGTGAGTCCCAGAGTTTTCCCAGGTTGCTCAATTCCTTCCTTTTTTCTTTCTTAGCGCACCAAGAGTGGCCTGAAGTCCGAGAAGTCAGTGGAACAGCTCACTGAGTGCAGGTGAGGGAAGGACCGGGGACCGGGCAGGGCTGGGCTTTGGTTTTGGGGGAGGTTGGCAGTGGGCCTGAGGTCGGCGGAGACAGCAGACCTGCCTGACCCTCGTGGGAGGGGCCTCACACTCTGCGGGTCCCCTCGGCCCTGTTGTGGCACGCTGGGGCCCTTCCATCCTGCTGGGCCTCGCAGGGCGGGCCCCTTATGGACCATTCGGCAGGCCCACCTCCACAGCTCATTTGTCCTCTGCAGAGCCCAGCAAAACAGGCAGACTGGGGTCAGAAGGGGCGCTTGCCCTCAGTCACGAGGTCACCTCACAGCCACTGGGGGCCAGGAGGGACCCAGAAGTGCGGTCTTTGACCTCGATGCTGTGCTGGCTCCCTCAAGCCCGGCGTCCCAGTGCTGCCAGGCAGCCTCGGCCGCGGCAGGGAGGGGCTGTCGCTGGGAGGGGCCCTTACAGCCCGACAGCAAGGCCCCTCGGGCCTCCCGGTGCCGGGGGCGAGGGCACCAACACTTATTGAGCGCCTACTGTGTGCGGGGTGGGGGACTGGAGTGCCCAGGTCAGCCAGCTGCTGGCTCTTCGTCTGTCCGGGCGAGCAGGGCGCCCGGCGGAGCTCTGCCGATGAGCTCAGGCCTCCAGGCGGTGCCGGCTGGGTCTTTCTGGGTCGGCCTGAGAGTGGGCTACTTGCAGGACAGTGGTGGCTGCTCCTTTCTTGTCTACACTGACTGAAGGCCTACTATGCGCCAGGCGTTGAGCTGTATGCTTTAGCTCCCCTGGCTCATTTAACCCTCATGAAGCCCAGCCGGGTGGAGTAGCTTGTCTTCAGCTCACAGGCTTGGCAGTCGGCCCCACCTGAGCTTAAATCCTGGCTCCGCCTTGTGTGAGCTGTGTGATCTCAAGCAAGTCACCTCCACTCTCTGAACCTCTTCACTCCTCTGAAAAATGGGGACCCCTTCCTACCTGCTGGGGCTGCTGTGAGGGCTGGAGATGATGATGTGAGGGGGGCCCTTCCCCTCCTGCTCCCGCTTGACTCTGAGGCCTTCCAGTCTGTGGCTCCTGGATGTCCCCTGGGGAGGGTGGGCTCCAACTACTGCGACCGATGACAAGTAACCACTGTGGCCCAAGTGAGTGAGCTGAGCGTCGCAAAGGGCGGGAGGCAGACGACCCTTGCTGGCCCCTCACACCTGCGGGTCCCGTGCATACACCGGCCCCTTTAACCCTCCTGAGGACTCCCCGGCAGGAAGCCTCGTTCCCGCTGACCCAGTGAAGCTATGGCTCCCAGGCACCCGGCCCCCGAGCTGCTCGGCGCTGGCTCCACGGAGCCTCAGGCCTGAGAAGGGGTTTCAGGTACTTGGGTGGGAGGCTGTGGATGGTGCTCATGACGCCACATCCCTCCCCCTTCGCGGCTCCAAATCTCCCCTCTCAGCCCTGTTTCTGGACAGGAAACCCCGTGGGGCTCCCCTCTGGCACTTGGCTGGTGTCGCGGGCAGCATGGAGGGGTCCGTCCCTCCTGGCGGGCTGCTGACGCGGAGCCCTGGGTCCAGATTCAGGCTGCCTCGAGGGCCACGGGCAAAGGGGCCCGGCTCTCCCAGGAGAGCGTGGCCGGCTGTGGGCCCAGACCCTCGCTTTGGGGGGCCGGGGCTGGGACAGAAAATTAAACAGCAAAGTCAGAGAAAAATGGCTCAAAAACAATAAAAATGGAGTGAAAGAAGCCAGACACAAAAGAGCACGTACTGGATGATTTCGTTCATGGGGATTTCTAGAACAGGCAAAAGTAACAGACGATGAGAGAGATCCCAGCAGCAGTAGAGTTTGTGGGGTCGCGGTGGTGGGATCACACACTGGGGGTGCTCACTAGGGGGGTGAGCACGCAGGTGTGGGTCTCCGTAACATGCACAAGCCATAAATTTAGCATTTGTGCATTTTATTGTGTGTATAATATACGCCCCATTAATCTAAAACAGCAACCACAAAAACAACCAAATCCAGACGTTTCTGGGAGTGGCCGCCTCGGGGAAGGGTCGGCCTGCTTCCCACGGGGTCCTGCTGCTTCTGGAGACAGACGTTGGTCTCTCCGTCAGCCTTGTGTGGTTACGTCCTGTCATATCAAGAAACCATAGGTCTGAAGACTTTTTTTAACCATTTGTTTGCTTTTTTTCCTCTACCATTTTCCCTGCAGCACAGAGCAGGACCAATCAAAGAGTGAGTACTTTTGTCACTGAAGGAAACCTTTTTCTACTGGATACGTGTGAAAACAGATGCGTAAAGATGAAGGGTTAATTGCTGGGGGTTCTCTCGCACTTCCCCTGTGGTCTGCTATTCGTATCTCAGCCTTCTTGTCTATTTGTCCCTCCTTCTCGCTGTCCATCCACAGGTCTGGCTCTTCCTTCTCATGACACCGCTCACACTGGGAGAGAGATTTGTAATTCCCATTGCCGATGACGGCGCAGTTGTTAAGTGTGGGGGCTCTGGAGCCAGGTGGCTGGGTTCAAACACTCGTTCTCCCGCTCATTATCCACGTGAGCTTGGGCAAGTGTCCGTCTTAAGCTGTCTGTGCCTCAGTTTCCTCATCTGTGAAATGGGATCAATAAGGGCACCTGCCTCTTAGACTATAGTGAGGGTTAAAAGATAATTTGTGAATATGTTTAACACAGGGAATGCTTAATAGTGATTGTTCAATAATGTGACTGCTGCTTTTCTTTTTGTTTTTGTTTTTTTGAGGAAGATTAGCCCTGAGCTAACATCTGCCACCAATCTTCCTCTTTTTTGCTGAGGAAGACTGGCCCTGAGCTAACATGCGTGCCCATCTTCCTCTAAGACTACTGCTTTTGTGACAGAGCTCTTCAACAATCAACTGATCCAGCCATTCCTTCTTTCATTCATTCATTCCTCAGTCAGTCGGCCTGGCCAGCTGTTCATCAATCCATCTATCTATCTATCCATCCATCCATCCATCCACCCATCCATCCATCCATCCACCCATTTCCATCCACCAACCCATCCATTCATCCACCATCTATCTATCTATCCATCATCCATCCACCCATCCACCCATCCACCAACCCATCCATCCATCCATCCATCTCATCATCACCCATCCATCCATCCATCTACCCTTCATTCATCCATCCATCTATCCATTATCTATCCGTCCATCATCCATCCAACCCATCCATCCATCCATCCATCTATCTATCTATCCATCATCCATCCACCCATCCATCCATCCATCTACCCTTCCATCCAACCATCATCCATCCATCCATCCATCTATCCATCATCTATCCGTCCATCATCCATCCACCCATCCATCCATCCATCTACCCTTCCATCCATCCATCCATCCATCCATCCATCTACCCATCCATCCATCCATTATCCATCCATCCATCCACCCTTGCATTATTTTTCCTCCCTGCAGCCCTCCCTGCTTAGGACACACAGCTGTCTGGGCAGGAGGTTCTACCAGGGCACCTCGTCTTCAGAGGTGGAAATAATGACCTGTGAAGGGCTTCTGAGAATGGGGGCTGAGGGATGCTGAATGGGGGCAGGAGGGAGAGGGGAGGTGCAAGGGAGGCTGGTCAGAGTCTGCGTACGTGTGGGGAGGGACATCAGAAGTATGTGGGGGGTGCCCTGGGAGCAGTGTTATTAGGGGGCAGCATGAGGATGGGTCACACAGTGAGGGGCGGGACACAGGGCAAGGCCTTCTCCAAACCGTTGCCAGCACGTTCATGCTGTTCTGGCTAGTGTCATCTGAGGGCACATTTGCCCTTCATCTCCCAGGTCCTTCAGTGACACAGTTTCCCTGACCATAGGCCATGAGGTCAGGAAGGGACCACTGCTGTTCCCTCCGTGTTTACGGGTCTGTGGGGCATTTACTGTGCATGATGCTAACTCATGCTACCTTTCCTCCTTCACTAACAAGGGAACCGAGGCACAGAGAGGTGACGTGACTTGCTCAGAGTCACACAGCTGCAGTGGCAGAATCCAAAGGCAAATTCTTCTACCCAGTTTGGGTATTCGGTGTCTGCGGACCAGTCTCCCCAGGGGAGGCGCGTTGGCTGCAAATAGCAGGAAGGCAGCTTGTGGGAAAGGGCACGAGCCCGAGGACTCGCGGCGTCAGAGGCTGGACGAGAGCCTAGCTGCTAAGATGCTCCCTCTGTTCTCAGACCCCGTGGGCATGACTCAGCTGCTGCTGGCGCTGGCCTTTGCACGCTGCAAGCTCAGACACTCCGGGAGGGCTCCATGCCCTCATTCTGCCGATCGGGGAACGCTGGGGAGGAGACCTGTGGGCTGAGTGTCAGTCCGGGCCTGGGCCCTGTGCAGCCACCTGTGGCAGCTCCCGCAGACCTGTGGGTGGAGCAGGAACCAGAGAGGAGGCAGGGCAAATTCCTAGAGGAAGGGATGGCGGCCAAGGCGTCCACTGCAGAAAGGATGAGCATTTATTGAAATCCTGCTGTGTGCCCGGCCACCATGCTGAGTGTGTTATCTGCTACCAAGTCTGATCTTTGCAACAACACCACCTAGTAGGTATTATCAGCCATACTTTACAGATGAGGAAACCAAGGCACAGAGAGGGGAGGCAATTCCCCCAGGGCCACACAGCCAGGGGAGCACTGAATGTTTGGTTTGATATATTTATGGTGGTTGAGTTTGGTGACTCAGACCCAGGCCCGTTTTTTAATTCAAGAACCTTAAGGTAAAACCACAGCTCCCTCCAGACTACTTGGGAAACTTTTGTGGAGAAAAAGTCCCCGTTCGGCACAGAGATCATGGCATCGTAATGGGGTGTTTGTTGGCTCTGTCTGCAGAGGACGTGTTTGATGAGTTATTTAAGCTGGCTCCTCAGAAGGTGAACGCCGTGAAAGAGGTGAGCGCGATCAACACCCCCCCTGCTGCCTTGTGCCCGGGGTGGGGACACAGGGGAAGGCACGGTCCACGCTGTGCACCCACTGTGCGCTGGCACCTTGCAGGCTAGGGGCTTCTGTCTCCATAAGCGGGAGGGTCACGAACCCGAGCCCTGGGCCTGAGGGCATCGTCTTTCCTTGGGTAGGCCATCGTGAACTTCGTCAACCAGAAGTTGGACCGCCTGGGCCTGTCTGTGCAGAGTCTGGACACCCAGGTAGGGACTCGGCTGCGGGAAGGGCCACAGGGCGCGGGCGGGAAGAGGGCCCCGCAGGCACCAGGAGCCGGCCACCCCCACGGCCTGCAATGTGTCACCTCACGGAGACTTGGGGTTTGCTCTCCAAGGGGAGTGTCGCTGGCAGCAGCGTCGCCACCCAGGGCCACGGTGGGGACCCCGTGAGGTGGGGAGAGTGGGAGCACCTTACAAATGGGGTGATCGATGCCGCTGTTATTACTTTTCATTGCTGTAAAGTACCCGCTTTTCAGCTCTTTTTTCAAAATCACTGGTGGACTAGCAGATACCAGGACTCACGGCCCGCGAGCTGCCTGGGGGCAACTGCGTGCGTGCCCGGTATTTATTGGTTGTGCGCTGTGGGCCAGGCTCTGCCGTAGGTGCCGATGTAGCCCCGCGTCTGCAGGGTCCCCGAGCACAGCCCACCGTGGCTGGCCCGCATCCGGTCGTCCCGGGGTGGGAACAGGACCTCGGCAGTCAGCCCTCCACAGTGTCCGCGGCCTTCCTCGAAGGCGCTGGGTCCTGTGAGGCTCCCTCGACGCAGCAGGGGGCTGGGGAGCCGAGAGGCTAATTGCCTGCCTGGGGTCTTCGGGGGACAAGGGGCCTGCTGGACGCGGCGGTGTGGGTCTCAGGCCCCCTGGGTTCTGGACACAGCGTAGGGGGGAAGGAGAGGGCAGACCTGGTCCCAGATGGACGGAATGGCTTATGACCGTCTTAGCCGGAGCTCAGACAGACTGTGACATCAGCCAGCGAGGAATGGGGTTGACACGCTTCTGTATCTGGTAGCTGAAACCAGGAAAGCCCTCACTGTGTGCCAGGCCCTGAGAAGAGCTTGGCATACATTAACTCATCAAATCCTCCCTACGCCCTGAGGTGGGAACTGATTCTATGCCATTTCACAGATGAGGACACTAAAGCACAGAGAGGTTAATTAACTTGTCTAAGGTCACACAGTGATTAGTGGTCGAGGGGATTTGAACCCAGGCTGCTGAGGCCAGAGTTTGTGCTCACGACCCCTTCACATGGTGGCCATGTGAGACATTTGTGTGTGATATGGTGTGGTGACGTGGCAGGGTGGAGACACCAGACTCCAAAGCCACATGGGGACATGTTGCTTCTGGGCTCCGAGGACGCCTCCTCCACATTAGCTGTGTGATGTTGGACCTGGACTTCTCTGAACCCAGGCTCTTCTTCTTATAAAACGGGTTCAAGGATACCAACCTCACAGAACTGTGAGTACTAAGTGAGATGATGGAGTTGGTGTTCAGTACACCCCCTGGCACTGTGGACGTGCGACAGAGGAGAGATCTGCAGTTTTATTATGTTTCGTGTGGGTACAAACAGGACGATTTCCCAGGCTTACATTCGACCTGTTTCATCCTCACTTCTCCCGTGTTAAATACTGGCGTTCGGAGAATAACCGTGTGTGGGAGGATGGTGGTTGCAGGCTGTCGGGGGAGAGGCGGTGCTGAGGTCCCGGTGTTCTGGTGGTGTTACCAGGAATATGAGCAGAAAAGATTTCAGGGCGAACCAACACCGTTGGAACAGACCCACTAGGAGGACATTCCCTGAGGACCCGGAGAGGAGGCTTTCCTCGATAGCCCACCTCGTGTTTCGTATCTTTGCAGAGATTTCAAAGGATTTTATTAGCATCGGACGTGCTGGGGAGGGCGAGGCTCTGTGTCTGCACACAGACAGACAGACACATTAGTGTGGCAGTGGCAGCATGAGCCAGAGTGCCATGCCCTGCCTTTTCTCACGGAATAATTCTACGCTTAACTCTGTTTTCTCCTGTGCTTCTGTAGCTCATGGAACAGGATGTGGTTTAAAAAGCGACATGAGGCTATGTCACAGAAAATGTAGAAATAGCTCATTTTATTGAGCACGCACGATGGGCCAGGCAGCCAATAACCGCTTTGTATCGGCTGCCGCCGATGTTTCCAACAACACGGCAAGGCCAGGGAGGTCATCCCCATTTCTCAAAAAGGAGGCTGAGGCTCAGAGAGGTTGTGTGACTTCTGAAGGGCCATGCAGCCTGTGAAGGCAGAGCGGGCTCCGCCGGGCCGTCCAACTCCAGCCCCCCTTCTCTGCAGTTCGCAGACGGCGTCATCCTGCTCCTGCTGATCGGACAACTGCAAGGCTTCTTCCTGCACTTGAAGGAATTCTACCTCACTCCCAGCTCTCCTGCGGAAATGGTGAGTTTTCCAAAGATGTTCCTCCACGGTCCACGTCAGAGTGCACACATCTGTGGAACCGGCACGGCCAGTCTTTACTTATTTACTTCCAGGAGAAGTGGAGGATGGAGGAGAAATTTGTTTGTCATGTGTCTGCCCATCCGTCCATTCATCCACCCCTCTACCTTCACACCTATCCATTCACTGGCCCACTCCCCATCCACCCAATTCGCCCACCCATCCACCTGCTTGCCCATTCATCCATCGATCTCGCCATCCATCCCTCCCTCCCTCCATCCATCCATCCATCCATACATACATCTATCCATCCATCCATCCATCCATCCATCTGTCCATCCAGTCACTTGCCCATCCATCCATCCATCCATCCATCCATCCATCTGTCTGTCTGTCCGTCCGTCCGTCCATCCATCCACCCATGCACCCATGCACCTGATCCCTCACTTTCTGAGCTCTTGCTTGGTGTCTGGCCCTGTGCCGTGTGCGCCATAAGGACAACCCAACAGAGCTCCTGCCTCGGAGGACCTCCCATCTCACCCCCTGTACTCTCAATGCTGTATGGTCTCCCAGGGTCACGATGAAGCGCGTTGACTCGTGGCGGGTGGGTCCCTGGGGGGCCTGAAAGAAAGAGTGGTTAGTGTTAGCTGAAGGAGCCATAAAGGCTCCTTTAAGACTGTGTAAGAGGTGACACGTGAAGTTGATTAGGGTTTGGTTTGCAGAGTGAACAAACTCTTCCTAAGGCGGGAAAACAGCGTCAGCCGGGGCTTGGATGTGGACGAAGGCAGGACCGTCTGGGGGCTGCGTCTGTGGCTCCCTGGGCTGCAGGAGTGGGCCAGGGTATGGCCAGGGGGGGTCTGTCCTCGGGTGCGGGGTTCCCGTGTGGGCCCTGCAGCCCAGGAGGCTGGTTGGGGTTTGGCTGCATTAGCCCAGGCAGGAGGGTCTGTGGCCTGACCCAGGGAGGGGAAGGGGCAGGAGAGGATGGTGATGCTGGCGGAAGTGACAGGACAGGACCGGCCTCCCGCATGCAGCCTTCAGCATCCCCGGGGCTTCCGCGTCCCTCCTCTGCGCTCTGGCCCTGTCCCACGGACCCGCCACAGCTCCTGGCGGAGGCTCCTCACGCTCTCCCACCTCTGGGCTCTGCATAGGCTGTTCCCCTGCTGGGAACGCCCTTGCCACACGGGACATCCACTCCGAGGGGAGGAGATCCTTACTACTCCCCCAAAGAGGAAACTGAGGCCCACAGGGGTGGCGACTTACCCTCGTTGTCTGGCTCCACATCGGGGCAGACGTGGCAGAGGAATGAGCATCCCGCCCGGCCGGAGGCCCCGAGTCCGGCCCCTGCTCACCACCAGCTGGCTGCCTGCACCTCAGGCTTCTTGTCTCTGAAGTTGGCTGACGACCTGTGCCCTGTGACCCCTCAGGCCACGAAGGTACTAGGAGGGAGAGTGGAGAGCCATCGAGGTGGGAGCATCGGGGGGCCTGTGGTCCCTGGTCTCCCCACCCAGCCCAGGGCCGGCCGGCAGTCTTCATGGCCATCAGCCCTCCAGGAGGTGACACTGGATTGTGGCCGGGAGCCGTTCCTGGTGCCAGCCTATGGGGCCTTTTCTGGGAGGAAGAAAGGTTTCTGCCCCCTTTGACATGCCCGCGTGTCCCCGGGAAGGGGGATAGCTCGTGGCCCTGGGCTGTTTCAGGACCCTTGGGGTAAAGCTGTACACCCTGGACCCTGGCCCAGTCCCAGGCCGGTCTCCCCTCTTCCAGGCCTCCCTCCCTCCCTCGCACAACCGCAGCCCCATCTGTCCCCTGCCTCCGGCCGCCAGCCCTGCCCCCAGGCTCTCCTCTGGCGTTGCAGCCCCGGGTGGTCCAGCCCCACCTGCCTCCCCAGCCTCCTCCCTGTCCCCATGCCGCTGACTCCAGGCGGCAGCCGCAGAGCCCCGGCAGCCCTTACGCGCTCGTCCAAGATCTCCAGGTCTCCGCCCGGGCCATCTCTCCTTTGTTCCCACCCTGCTAGCCCCGCCATGGGCTCTGATGCCTTCCCGCCTCCTCTGAGCTCCTGGGCCTCAGTGGGCCCCTGAGCCATGGCCCCTCTCACATTCTCTGCCAGTCACCACCCACGTCTACCCCTCCTGGCCCTTGACCCCATCCCTCCCTCACTGCACGCCCCTGTGAGGGGCTCAGGGAAGGGTCGTGTCTCCATCTTACAGAGGGGGAGACCAAGGGCCTGAGAGGCTGTGGGACTTGCCGAGGACCACTCAGCTGCTCGGTGGCAAATCCGACACCAGGACGGGCCTTCTGGTCCCCAGCCTGCTGTTCGTCCTCGTGCACCATGGGGATGCCATCTTCAGTGGGCGTGCTCTCCACCCTCCCAGGAGGCAGGGTGCTCCTGAGGTCAGGATTGATTTGGGCTCAGAGTCCCATGGCCGGGATGTTGGGCGAGGAGCGAACAGGCCGGGGTGGTGCCGTGTGTGTGGTTCTGGTGGTGGCAGGAACAGTGGTCAGCACTTAGGGGTTCTTACATTCTCTGGGCACTGCATCCGTCAGCTATTGGCACAAAAGTGCTGCGTAACAAACCTCATGAGTAAGCGGTGGCTTAAAACAATCATTTCTTCTCACAGACCTGCGGTTGGCTGAGTGTGTGATCCAGCTCTGCTGGGCTCCCTCACTCATCTGGGATTGGCCAGAATCAGGCCATCTTGGTGGGGTCGGGGGGGGGGTGGTCCAGCTCCACGTCACGTCCCTCTCATCCTGCTCCTGGGACCGGCACGAGCCGGGCCTCGTTGTCTCGTGGCAGCGGCAGAGACCCAAGAGGCCAGCGGAACACAGCAGGCCTCGGCTGGAGCTGGCGTGGTCACCGCCGCCTCACTCTGTCGGCCAGGGCAGGCCCCGCAGCCCGGTGGGGACACACTGCGCAGTGTGAGGCTGGGGCTCAAGATTTTGCTCACTGCCAAGTGGCCTGATGTCCACGCCCTGTGCGCCGCCAGCCTGCTGGATCCCCCATCTCAGAGCCCCCTTCTGAACGTCGGCCAGACGGACGGACGTGGGGGAGGAACCAGCCTTTCAGCTCAGCCCCTGGGATGAGCTCTCACGGCAACTGCAGGAAACCTGCGCCGCAGGAACGTCCAAGAGAAGCGCCGAAGGGGCCATTGGCCGAAGAGGCAGGGCCAGCGGCCCCTCCTGAAGGGGGGACCCCGCAGAGTCGTTATCTCGGCAGAGCGGCCCCTCCGAATTGGATTTCTCGTCCTCAGACCTTCTTTGCCAGTGGTGTTCATGTGAGACTGCCATTCGCTGTGGGAAGAGGAGTCAGGGATGAGGGAGGGATGCAATCATCTGCTCTGCAGAGACCGGAGCTCTGAGCCAGGAAGGCTCGGCTTCCTCCCTACTCAATCATCTCTCCTCGGGAGGGTTTGAATGCGTCCTCCCGGGGCCGTGACCTTCCCCTGGCCGCACGGAACGTGGTAGCTGTCCCTTCATCATCTCAAATTGGGCACGCAAGAAAAGTGATGCTTCGAGCAGGACGTGGTGAGACAGTGCTGGAGCCCGGGGCAGCTGCTCCTGGTTCCGACTGGGCGTCGTCGAGGACGAGGGTGACAAATCGAAGCTGGCGTGATCATTTTTATAGTGTCGGTAGCAGCCAATCTCACAGCACCAACTCCTTGAGGGCAGAGGGGGTCTGTTTTTCCCCCGTTGCCTGGCCAACGCATAGTAGATGCTCGATAAATATTTTTTAAATAAGCGAATGCATGAAGTGTTTCCAAAACACTGGTCCCATGAGGTGCTCTGTAACAGACAGATTCTGTGGTCAGACGACTTAGGAAAACATGCAAAGTCTTGAAGGTTGGTGACGCACCAAAACAAATTCAAGGCTCTGAGAAGTCCTTCAGGGAAGGATTTCTGGATTACTTTGTTTGAGCCAACACTTCCCAAAATAGTTTGGTCACAGACACCCGTCTCCCCCTACACCCTGGATCACGCTCTGGGAGATGCTGGCTTAGAGAGTGAAGACATCAAAGGCACAGCTGCGAGGCAGGAGAGCACTGTGCTGAGAGTCTGGTCTCAGTGTCTCATTCCCTCTCTGACATTGACTTTCTGTGCATCCTGTGAATAGTGGTCACGGTGAGAAGGTGAACAATGGCAACAATTGCAACCCTCCGTTTGCAGGCTACTTCAGTCTGGGGGGAACACCTGGGGACACAGTGACAGGAACAGGCCATGCAGCTCTGATCTGCTCACTCTGAGATTTCCTTTCCTTTTGGCTGGACATCCCACAGGTGTGTCCCACCTGCCTGGGGGCTTTGGCATCCCGTGACAGCCTTTGTTTCTTCTTCTTCTTTTTTTTTTAAAGGTTTTATTTTTCCTTTGTCTCCCCAAAGCCCCCCAGTACGCAGTTGTGTATTTTTAGTTGTGGGTCCTTCTAGTTGTGGCATGTGGGATGCTGCCTTAAAGTGGCCTGATGAGCGGTGCCATGTCCACGCCCAGGATTCGAACCAGTGAAACCCTGGGCCACCGCAGTGGAGCTCGTGAACTTAACCACTCGGCCATGGGGCCGGCCTCTGTTTCTTCTTCTTGACTGACTATAGTGGGACAGCCTGCTGGGCCAGTGATCCAGCCTCTCCCACGCTCTCTCTCACCTCCTGGACCTGCCCCCAGCGCAGTTGCTCTGTCCACTGGATGCTCCAACAAGAGCTCTCCCTCGCAGAGAAGGACCCTGCTCACTCCGTCTTCCAGATCCCAGGGAGGGGCTGCCTGTGCTCCCTGAGCGGCCCACCGTGTGCCAGCCGCCAGCGAGGACTCCGGCCCCTGCCCTAGGACTCAGCAGGGGTCCTTGGGGGTGGGTGCCCCTGCCCAGTGTCCTTGGACCGGGACTGTGACCCACACCCCTCTCTCCCTCAGGGAGAGTGCTTTCTCAGGGGGCCTTGAGCTCCCTACATGTGTCCTGCCTCCCGGCCCTTGCAGGAGCCCAGACCCAGGGAATTGTCAGGGAGGCCCTGGCTGAGGCCAGGCCCCTGCTGTGCCTTCATCCCTCTTTCAAATCTTGCTTTGTGGCTCCAATTCTGTGTCCATCATCACATCGGAGCCACACGGCAGCCTTGGAGATAGCGGCTGGAAGATGTGCTGTCCCCATCGGACAGACGACGGGACTGAGGACGTGTACTTGTCTGGCCTGTGACCGTCACCTGGTGGGCATTGGTGCACGGACATCCAACCGAGATCTCAAGAGGCAGCCTAGGCAGGGCTGGCTTCCCCGCATGGGCCTTGCTCCTCTTCAGCTCTGCCAACCGGCCTCTAGGACCCTGGCTGGGTTGCCATGGGAGCTGCCCGGCCTGTTTGAAGCGAGCTGTGGGCCTGGGATGGCTGGCAGATGGGGAAGGAGTGGGACCAGCGTGGCTGGCCACCCGTCTGGGACGTCCAGCCCCGACGGTGGACCTATGGGTGACTGAGATGGTTGAAGGAAGGGCCTGCGTAAGGTCCCAGTGTATCAGGGGCTCAGCTGGCTTTAGACCTCACTCAGCCCGCTCCACCCCGCACCTCTCTTTGTGTGCACCAGGCTGCTGCCCCAGGCGAAGGGCGGGGTCTTTTTGGTTGTACCTGAGGCCTGTGGGAGAAACTAGCCTTGAAAAGGGAGGACCCCATTCACAGAGGGTCTGCTCTGAGCCAAGGACAGACAGGGCTCCCCACCCGGTATCCCGCATCAAGGCCCCTGGGAAATGACAGGGACCCCACTTTGCAGGTGATCAAGTGGCGGCCCCAAGCGACTTGCCCCAGGTGACCCAGTGGACAGGCTGGGACCTGAGCCGGGTGGGCCTGACTGGCCGGGCACTGTCTGCCGTGCTGGAGGCAGTGAGCAGGCGCCTGTCCAGGCAGAGGGGTGAGGAAAGGGCAGGGACCGGGGGAGGGCTGGCTCCTCCAGCCTGCTGCACACGGGCATCAGAGCGAGACAGACCTCGTTCTGGCACTTTCTGTCATGTGAGCCCCGACGAGCTGCTTGGCCACTCTGAGCCTCGGTTTCCTCATCTTGCTTTGCCCATGGAACTTGGCTGTTTCTGAGGGGGTCTCTGTTGCCTACAGGGTTGGGGGCTGCATCGGAAAAGATCAGGATGAACTCACAATCCTTCCCTGGCTAAGTATCCTCACCTGGTCAGACTCACCTCCAGGCGTCACCTCCACCAGGAAGCCTTCCCTGACCCCCCGGCTGGGTGCCCCCCTGACAACTGCCTTTCCCACTGGAGGTGGCCTCCTTGACGCATGATGGACATCCTGGATGAGGGGTGGGCCTGGCACTCGGGGGCCAGGGCCTAGGGGGGCTGCCTCATTCTGCTGACATCTGACGGGGTCTTGTCATTGTAGCTGCACAATGTCACGCTGGCTCTGGAGCTGCTGAAGGATGAAGGCCTGCTCAGCTACCCCGTCAGCCCCGAAGGTGAGCGCTCGGCACACCAGGGTGCTATGGCTCTGTTCCCTGGGCAGCCAGCCTCTGGGGGCACCCGCAGAACAGGGGGAAGGGCAGTGTGGGGGGGGGTCAGGCAGCTCGTGTTGGAGTGGTCCTCTTGCCTGGCATGGGGGCAATGAGCATTTGCCAAGGCTTCCTGTGAGGGGCACTGTGTCCACAGCTTCCAGTGACCCCAGTGGAGTAGGGGGTCCTGGGGAGAGGAGATGGGGGCCAGAGGTCCCTGGGGACGGGTGTCCAGAGACCTTGAGGAGTTCCTGTGTTGGGGGCACCCCGGGAGGGATGCTGGGCACAGCTGGACGGGGGAGGAGGGAGGCAAGGCCATGTGATGGGACGGGGGACTCAGGCCGAGCGTGACCAACTGTGCCGGTTTGCCAGCATTCTCCCGGGTTTAGCACTGAAAACCTGTCCCTGGAAAACCCTCTGTCCGGGGCAAACTGAGTCGGTTGGTCACTCCCCTACCCGGGCCTCCTCTTCTCTGCTCTGCCCCACAGACATCGTGAACAAGGACGCCAAGAGCACGCTGCGGGTTCTCTACAGCCTGTTTTCCAAGCACAAGCTGAGAGAAAGCACGGACGGGATGTCCTGTGGATCCCCGAATTAACCGTCGCTGCCCCCAAAAGCTGCTTCTCAGAGCCTGCCTGCTGGGTCCAGCCGGAGGGCCCGAGGGCCGCAGAGGGATCTCCTCCACTTCCCTGTGTGTCTGTAGCGCTCCGGCCTTCCCCCCCGCCCCGTCTCCTGTTTCCATCTGTCTGAATATGTTTGAACCCACTAGGCGTGGATCCTTTTTGAGCCAACCTCTGGCCTCACTCAGTTTATTTTAACAAAGGTCTTTCCGGGAGGGATTTGGGGAGCCTGCCAGGGTCCCGGGAGGGGCTCTGAAATATGCATAAATGCGTCTCAGGCAGCCTCTCTCCCCGCGGCTCCACCCCTCACCTCTACGGGCTCCCTGGTTGGGTGGGTCAGAGGAGAGCCCAGCGATGCTGACCTTTCTTCAGGCTTGAGGGTCTGGCTCTGGGAGCAGGAGGGGCTTCAGGTGTGAGGGCTGATGTCCAGATGTCCCCACACGCAGCTACTGCTGTCCGCCCGCCTCGCACTGGGGGTGTCAGGCCCCAGGTCACCATCCAGAGGCGGGAGCCCCATGTGCTTCCCACACCAAGCCCCCGAGCCGCTCTGGGAAGTTCATTCAGTGACTTGCCAGAGGCGCCATGGGCCAGGCCCGCCCCTGTGGGTGCGATGGGGAGCTTCGCCCAAAAGTTGTGCAGAAGAAATCTTTGTGGTTGATTAGTGGTCAGAGCGTCTCCCAGCCTGTCCCCGAGAAGCTCCCGTCCATGTCTCTGGTGAGACCTGGCACTTGCTGCGGACATTTCTCAAAGAAAATGTTCCTGTAGGAGGATTATGAATATGGGTGTTCCAGGAGCTGACGTCTGACGGGAACCAGCCAGGAGGAGGCGCTGTGGGCAGGGGTGAGGGCCTGCCGGGGAGGCGGAGGTGGGAACCTCGGGCTGCCTCTGGGCTCCTCCCCTGCTCTGCCAGCTCCAAGCACCCATGGAGGATGGAGCCCACCAGCTCTGGGGTTGTCACAGTTTGACGGCCTTGGATTTGGGGAGGTGCTTTGGGGCAGTGGGCCAGCGTGGGCCAGGCCATCTTTGCCAAACCAGCTGGTGGAGCTTGGGTCGGGGGGGCGTCCTACAGGCAGGGACGTCTGGAGGCCTTGGAGTTAGTGTCTGAGTGTGAGAAGGTCTGGGGTGGTCTTCCCCCCACCCTGCCACCATCCACCTGTGCCCCTCACCTCCTGATTCACAGGTCATTAGGCGTAGATGAGGTCGTGAGGGCGGGCTCCCCAGGATGGGATCAGTGTCCTCATAAGTAGAGGACGAGAGACCAGAGCTCCCTCTCTCCACCGCATGAGGACACACAGGTGCCATGTGCCAGCCAGGAAATGCGCCCACACCAGGAACTGAACCTGCCAGCACCCTGATCTCAGACTTCCAGCCTCCAGAACCGTGACAAATAAACGTCTGTTGTTTAAGGCCCCAGTCTACGGTATTTTATTAATGCAGCCTGAGTGGACAGACGGAATCTCAGTACCATCATTCATTAGGGAAATACAGCTAAAGCCACAAGGACCATACACACCCAGAGTGGCTAAATTGAAAAGACTGACAGTAGCAAGTGTTGACGAGGATGGGGAGCAGCTGGAATTCTCAGGCATTGCTGGTGGGAATGCAAAGTGGTACATTTACTTTGGAACACAGTTTTGCAGTTTTTTTTTATAAAGTAAAACATGCACTCACCATATGACCCAGCCATTTCACTGCTAAGTGTTTACCCAAGCAAAACGAAAACATATGTCCACACAAAGACTTACACGCACAAAGTGCTGCTGCTACTCGTAAAAACCCGAAACTGGAAGAAGCCAGATGTCCATCACTGGCAGATGCACGAATGGCAGCGTGTGCAGACGATGGGGTTGTGCTCAGCAATGAAGAGGAGAGAGTGTCGGTGCAGAGACAGGGCGGATGACAAGTGGCATTGGGCTGAGCGAAGGAAACGGCACACAGGCCACATGCTGTATGACACCGTTTATTACAAATTCTAGAAAAGGCAGAATCATGGCGGCAGGAAGCCGACCAGCAGCCCCAGGGCCAGGGGAGCTGGAGAAGGGGACTGACAGCGAGGGGAGCGAGGGAATTTCGGGGGATGATGGGATGGTGGTTACACCACTGGTTACGTTTGTCAAAACTCGTCAAACTGTGCACTTAAAATTGGGAACATTTACCTTTGGTAAATTATTCCTCAATAAAGCTACAAAAAATTAATTAAAAAATTTTTAAATTTCCCGTCAAACTGAAGAAGGGTGAGGACTGCCTGCCTGCAGTGGGTGAGGCCTGATGAGGGAGAAAGCTGAGACCCCAGGGCCGGTGAGCACAGGACCACCTGCGAGCGCTGAGGCCTGAGGTTGCGTAAACGCAACCCACGTGGGGCCCGCCCGTGGTGTGTGCTCGTCAGACCCGGCACAGCCTCGTGACGTCCTCTTTCTCCTTCGAGGAATCTCTTCCTCTGAAATCTGCCTTGTCGGGTGTTAACACGGCTGCGCAGTCTTGCTCTTAGCAGTAGCAAGGTATCATTTCTCTCCTTTTCCTTTTCAACGGTCTGTGTTTTTATATTTAAAGAGGGTTTCTTATGGGCACAAATCATTGTGTCTTTTTATCTGGTCTGAATACCTCTGCCTTTTAATTGGAGAATTTAGTCCATTGAAATCTTTTGATCGTGGTAAAATACACATAACAAAATTTGCCGTTTTAGCCACTTTAAAGGGTACGGCTCAGTGGCGTTAAGTGCGTTCGCATTGTTGTGCAACCACCACCAGCACCCACCTCCACAGCGCTTTCAGCTCCATAACGGTTAGACAACAGCTCGCCTTCCTTCCCACCCCCACCCCCGCCCCCCAGCCGCTGTCTTGTACCGTGCTCCTTCCTGGCCAGACCCATGTTTCTAACCGCCCAGGGCACAGCCCCTTGGGGTGCCCACCCCAAGCTCACCACATCCAGGTCGGAACCCACCCCTTTCCCTGCCCTACCTCCTGGCTCCCCATCTCTTTGATCGCCCCTCCCAGCCTCCTGGCCCCCAGGCCTGAGCCCTGCGGCTCCTTCTAACACTCCCCGTTCTCCCATCTGGGCACCGAGTCCTGTCCTTTCTGCCGTCTGCTCACCTCTCAAGCTCGGGCCCTCCCCTCCTCTCCTCTGCCCCTCGGAATCCAGGCCCTCACCGTCCATCCGTGGGGAGTGGTTACAGTAACTCCGCAGCTGGGCTCCTCATCTCATTCCTCTCTGACCCCAGCTTTGCACCTGCAGTCGGAATTTTTCTGCCCTGGGAACCTGATCCTAAACGTTCCCTGCTGCCCAGCCTCTGGGCGGCATCCAATGCCCTGGGCCCTCCTGACATTGCGGCTCTGTGGTCTTCCTGGGGACCGTGTGTGGGGTCCTGCTGCGCCCCAGCCCTTCCCGACTGAGACCCTTTCTCCAGGCCTTTCTGATACTGTCCTCCCTGCCGGAGATGCCCGTGCCCCACCCACCCCTGGAGGTTGGCGTTCACAAAAGGAGTGGGGACATCCTTGAGGAGAGAAGGGAGGAGGGAGGGGCCCTGGGACAGTGTGGATGCCTGGGGTCCTGGTGTTGGGGGTGGGTGGAGAGAGCTCCCACAAAGGAGCCTGAGCAGAGGGGGACAGGGAGCCCTGCCCTCGGTTCAGCTCGCTTCCCGGCGCCCTCCCTCTCTCCTCCACGCCAAGGAATCCGACTCCAGTCGAAGATGCAGCAGAAGTTGGACGCGTGATGAAGACAGTGGGCTGAACGGGAAGACGTCCAGGCCGGAGCAGGAGCTGGCGGGCTCGGGCTGGGCGTGCAAACAGCTTCGCAGCCACGGGAAATGCCTCGAAGGCCGGGGTGCCTCCGAATTGAGCCGCTTCCCAAAATAATCCAGGGGGCAGCTGTCTCGGCTTTGGAGACTGAGTCTGGCTGCCTGAGCGGCAGGAAGCCCCAGGCCCCACACCAGCCCCACTCTGGGAACAGATGGCACGAGGAGTATTTTTTTCTTTTCCTGAAGTCAGCTGGAGCGCGAACAGCTTGTCTGGAGAAGTGCCCCTCCCCCTCCCTTTTGGCAGCAGATCAAAGCCGCCGCCGCCCCTCCCCCAGCCCCTGGCCTCCTTCCCTTTAGGACCCAGGCAGCCGAGGTGGAGGGGCCTCACAGGCCTTTCTCACTGTCGGGTTTAACCCAGGGAGCAGCAGGGGCCCCTCGGTCCCTGGGAGCCAGGGCTGAGCTAGGGCAGCAGATGCGGGAGGCATGGCTGGTTGGAAAATGGACAATGGGGATGTCGCAGAAATGATTCTTCTTGGAAGAGCGGGCCAGCTGACCTGGGTTGGCCAACAGCTGCATGCATTCATTCATTTATCTGCCAGCGTTCCAGTCGATTGGTATGCTTACTGGCTGCAGACGGACTCAGCAGCGGGCAGGTGGGTTTTCACGTCTGCACAAGTCGTCGTGCACGAGCCGTTCCCTGCAGACCTTCCCTGAGCAGTTGCCGTGTGCAGGCCCCAGCTTGGAGCTCAGGGCGTAGAGAGCGCTCAGACGCAGGCGCTGTTCGGGCGGAGCTCAGAGCCCGCAGGGCAGGAGGCGGGGCAGGGCGGTGGGCAGATGCAACGCTTGAGTCGGACTCGGGCGCGAGTCCTGGGTGCATCCTCCGACTGCCCGGTGACGCTGGTGAGCCACTTACCTCCTGAGCGTCAGTTTCCTTCTCTGTCAAATGCAAGCAATAAGGAAGCTATTTTTTGTAGGGTTATTATGAATGTTAACCAAGAGAATCCATCTAAAGAGCTTGAACTATTGCCCGGCACATAGTGTTCCATAATGTCGGACGACACACCATCCCCATCATCACAATCACTCTCACCATCATCAACACCACCATCACCATCGCCAACACCACCAACACCACCATCGCCATCACCACCATCACCATCACCACCATCACCATCACCATCACCACCATCACCACCACCAACATCACCACCACCTTTATCATCATCATCACCACCATCACCACCATGATCATTATCAGCATCACCATTATCACCATCACCACCATCACCATCACCACCATGATCATTATCAGCATCACCGTTATCACCATCACCACCATCACCATCACCACCATCAGCATCACCGTTATCATTATCAGCATCACCATTATCACCATGACCACCATCACCATCAACATCACTATTACCATCACCATTATCATCGCCACCTTTGTCCTCACCATCACCATCACCGTTATCACTACACCTGCAAAAACAGAACCGAAATGCCCTCCCTCGGTGGTTCTGTGTGAGGGTGCTGTCATGTGAAGTCAGACCTTGGCACATAGTTGGAGCTCAGGGCTGGGCAGTAAAGAGCCAGCCCATCGGGTAGGCCCCACCTGGATTTTGCATGTCCCATGCCCCCAGGTTCTCCTGCTTGGAGCCCATGACACTAGCCAGCACATCGGAGGCACTGGGGAAATGTTTGCTGGCTGATCCACTGGCAGAGACCTCTTAGCTGTCCCAGACCTGTTGCTCGACGTGCAGCCCACCCAGCTGGCTGCACTGACAGCCTCGTTCATAAGTGTTAAAGCTGAGCACGACTCCAGATTCACCGCGCTGACCTCTGGCCAGTTGCCTCGGTCCCTGGGTGAGGCCAACGGGTTTACCAGCTCAGCTGAAAACGCAGAGGCCCATGGAGGTCCTCTGGCTCCATCATCCCCCTTTCGTCTGGAATGAGAGGCAGCAGTGTGACGTCGTGGGGAGTCCTGGGCTCCAATCCCAACTGGGCCTCTTAGCAGCTGTGTGGCCCTGGGCACATCACTGCCCTTCTCTGAGCGTGCATTTCCTTTTCTGTAAAATAGGAATGACCCTCCCTGCTGAGCTTAACCCCCAGGTGGGAGTCACAAGGATAAACTGAAATCATGACGGGCAGGGTCTTGAAGAGCGCCATCAGCTGAACAACAGCTGTGGCTAGCATTTACTGGACCCTCACCTTTCTTCAGCTGGCCTGGCCCAGATGGCCTAGTCCAGACGCCCTGGACCACTCAGCAAACCCACTTCCTCCCCACGCAGGACACATGGCTAGAATGTTTCCCAGCCTCCCTTGCAATCTGACAAGACTGCGTAAGTGAGTCCTAGTCCACAAAATGTGAAGGAAGTAAGATGCTACACTGCCGGGCCTCGTCCCCACACCTGCTCCCCTGCATGACCCTGGGTGCCCCATGGTGCCCGGGGATGACCGGATGACGCAGACAAGTGGGGATAGGGGAGGCCACGTGCTGAAGATGGTGGAGCCACAGGGGGAACCTCCCTGACAGGAGAGCTGCCTGCCGTCAGGGACCCCCGCTTTGAACCGCCCCTGAGCAGGAAGGGCTCGCCCTCGCTTCCACGTGGAGTCTGCACAGCAACTGGTGGCATCTGGACCGAAGCAGCTGCATCGACTCTGCCGTTCCAT